TCCATGCATGCACAGAATCTTTTGACCAATCAAATCTGCGCATGCACAGAATCTTCTGATCAATCAAATCTGTGCATGCACAGAATCTTCTGACCAATCAAATTCATGCATATGCAGGATCTTCTGACCAATCAAATCTGTGCAAGCACAGAAACTTTTGATGTTTTATTCCAATTAGAATGCCATCTCCATTAAACGTTTCCCATGATGTGCATGTACCAAACAGTGAAATTAAATTAAATTAAAGGTTAATATGAATATATGGAGAAATGCAGAGTATGTCTCAGTTGTCAAGCAACCAGCATTTTAAAACATGATTACAAATATATGTAAATGAAGAAGCTATATTCAGATTGGTAAAAATGTACTACCATTGTTGTTTGTTGTTTTTATCGCAGGAAATGACATCACCTGAGGTGAATCTAGAGTACTTAAAAGCCGCTATGAAATCAGTGGATGAAAAAAATACAGAACAAAATCAAGGTCAAGGTGAACCAGTTTGTAAAATGAGAAAAACTGTACAAAAATCTGAACAGAAAGAGTCTTCAAAATGCAGTTCAGAGTGTTCTCCAGTAGCAATGCATTCATCGCAGTGTCAAACTTCTCTTGCATTGAACATTACTGAATGCAGTTCATTTATTGAAAAAGTGAAATGTACATCATCAATACGGGAATCTACAAGTAATGTTCAGGACTCTGAAAATCAAAGATCAGTGGAGTGTACCGAGGACAATGGAAAAGAATGTGAGACATCGCTTGAACTGCTTGTAGAGTGTCTTACGCATCCTAGTGTTGTGCGTCAGGTGGCTGACTTGCTTAAAGAAAAATGTTCCAAAAAATAAACTTTTATTTTATATTTTGTGCATAAATAAAGGATATTCAGTGAATCACATATAATATAAGATTACATCACAAAATGTAGTAATTATTATTGTTTCTGAGCCTTTTTCTTAATTACTACCAAAAATTAATAAATCTGATTTCATAGGGCCAGTAATTTGATACTTCATGCCTCCATTTCTCTCATCTGAACCACATGGTTTTGGACCTCAATGAAACCATGTAGGATTTTAAGATTGTGTATTTGACATCAGTAATAGACCATTTTGCGTTCACTGTGAGATCCTGTGTTATACGTGAAATTGAACGTAAAAACAAGACAAACAAAGGTCATAGCGTTGCAGTGGCAACAAACACCACATGGGATTTGACAAACTCGAAAGTATTTGGGAGATATTTCCATACTTAATAATGTGCTGTACACATTTTATGATGGTCAATTCCGATGAAGTAAGGATATCTAAATGCAATATTCCCCTGTCAAAGATCAGCCTTTCGATGTGAGCTACGAAATAAAGAAATTCAAGTTCAAAATCAAATCGTTCGATTTTTGTTCGGACGATCGGCGCATGTCTTAATAATAAACAAAATGACAGGATTTTGTCAAAAAGCGCTCGCTTACTGAACATGATCTACCAAGATAATAGTTGTGGTAGGTTTCACAGATTTGTTTAAATTAAAAACAGAATCCTGATTTCTGAGTTATGCATTCAAGTTATGCAGGAATGTTGTTCTTTGAGTGCAGTGGACTGAGTGTTTACACCTCCCTGTATTACTGAAGTTATCAGGACATGTATGGATTAATAACATGTGTTCACTAATTATCGTGGGAGTGCAATTCACAGCATTTTTTTTACACAATCCGGGTTCCATGAAATCAAGTGACAAGAGATGGGTAGGGCTGGAATCACAGACATTGGGGAGAGGGGTGAACAGGATACTGCACATATGTGTACT